CTCGCGTTACTCCGAGGAATTAATCGATTGTTCTGATTACCCAGTTTGACAACGTAATCATTGAGGGTTAAATGTACGGATCAATGAGGAGAACATCTCCAGGAGTACTGTGTGAACAATTCCAAGCATAAGAGTTCGCATATTAGAGTGTATGTTTTTGTTTAGAATTAAAGTTGCTTAACACAGAAGTGTCTGAGTGGTGCCTTCCTAAGTTCATGCATAATAATCTCAATTATAAGAACCGTATCCTGCGGTGAGATTTGAATTTGGAAACCTGACATTAACACACTAAGACTTAATCAGTAAATGTTAAAGCGAGAATAATTGTATTATCCCGATTGATAATACAACCCTAGAAAACGAAGCCGAGCTGAATTTAGCATAATTACATCACACTTGCATAACTTCATACAATTCATTGTATTATCCCGATTTAAAATACGACCCTAGACAACGAAGCTAAGCCCAATTATAATAACAGCATATAAACGTAACCACATACATTCGCATAACTTAATAAGAGTATCTCCCTAATTGGCATAGAGAGAGACAGAGGCCTCGCATTGATTACTTTCTGCGAAAGCGATCAAATCAGTCGAATGAAGCACAGCAACTGGACGCAAACCATAGTTTGCAGTGCATCAGTACCACTGTCATGGAGGACGTAAACTCAAGCACCGAAGTAACAACTGAGGTGGAACCAACAACAGGAGTGGAACTCACCCAGCCTCCCAGACCTGCAGTCGAGAGGAGACTACCAGGGCACAGACCGTATGTGAAGTGGCCTGGCGCCAGTGACAAGAAGTTGTGGGAAACAGTGAATACTGACCTTACCTTGACCCTCGAGAAACTTCGAGGCACAGTGGAGAAGAAGTTGGAGAGGATGGGGGATATCATCTATGAGTACGGGGCAGAAAGCTTTGGAGTGCAAGAGGCAAAAGGCGGGTAAAAGGTTCCAACCCCACCAGTTTCCAGGAGGCAACAAGAAATCAAGCGCCTCGTTCAAGAAAGGAGACAGCTTAAGAAACAGTGGAAGAAAGCCTCGGAAGTGGAAAAGGAGGGCATAGAGGCACTACAGGCTGACATCAAAACCCGGTTGGCATCCCTCTGTAGAGCAGAAAACCTACGGAAGCGCAGAAGGAAGAAAGAACAAACTAGAACTCGATTCTATTAAGATCCCTTCAAGTTCCTTAAAAGTCTCTTCACGAAGGAAAAAAGTGGAGTTCTAAAAACAACAAAGAAAGACCTAGAAGAGCACCTGAGAACAACAAACTTTGACTCAAAGTGACATGAACATCTGGCCATCCCATCAGATATCCCACCCATTGAACCACCGGAACATCATATTGAGACCAGCCCTCCGACATGGAAAGAGGTGGAAAACACAGTTCGAAGGGCAAGAACAGCATCAGCCCCGGAGCCAAATGGAGTCCCGTACAAAGTGTATAAGAACGCACCAGACATCCTGAGGTTCCTCTGGAGACTCATGAGAACAGCTTGGCAAAAGAAGATAATACCCAAAGTGTGGCGTAGGGCAGGCGGGGTCCTGATCCCTAAGGAGAAGGATGCAGTGAACATCAGCCAATTCCGCCCAATCTCCTTACTGAATGTCGAGGGTAAAATCTTCTTTAGGGTTATTGCCCAGAGGATGGCCGAGTACCTGCAAAGGAATGCGTACGTCGATACATCTGTACAGAAGGCAGGAATATCAGGGTTCTCTGGCTGCTTGGAACATTCCAGCATGATCTGGCACCAGATCCAAATGGCCAAGGTGGAGAAAAGGGACCTCCATGTAGTCTTCCTCGACCTCGCCAATGCATTTGGCTCTGTGCCCCATGAACTCCTGTGGTCTGCCTTCAGATTTTTCCACATACCGGACACCATCACAACCCTGGTGAAGTCGTACTTTCAGGATCTGCAGTTCTGCTTCACCACCTCAGAGTTCACCACCTCATGGCAATGCCTGAATGTAGGTATAATGGCGGGATGTACCATTTCTCCATTGGCATTCATAATGGCAATGGAGGTTATCATCAGATCCTCAAAATGGGTTGCTGGTGGACAGCGAGTCGACTCTGGTTTTCGCCTCCCTCCACTCAGAGCCTACATGGACGACATTACAACATTGACCACCACTGTCCCATGCACCAGGAGACTGCTCAGAAAACTCGAGGAGAACATCAGCTGGGCCCGTATGAAGATTAAACCATCCAAGTCACGCAGCATCTCGATTGTGAAGGGAGTACTCTGTGACCTGAAATTCTTCATCGGAGATGACCAAATCCCAACAGTGTCTGAGCAGCCGGTAAAAAGCCTTGGAAGGTGGTATGATGCAAGCCTGAAGGACAAAGTCCAGGTGCAACAGCTGCGCAAAGACATCAGTAGTAGCCTACAGTCCATCGACAACACCCAGCTACCTGGAAAGTTAAAGGCCTGGTGTCTGCAGTTTGGTCTCCTACCCCGGGTGTTGTGGCCCTAGCAGTGTATGAGGTTCCAATCTCAACAGTGGAGAAGATGGAAAGAGGAGTCACGAGCTACTTAAAGAAGTGGCTCGGAGTTCCACGATGCCTTACCACCATAGGCCTCTATGGAGATGGTGTCCTCAAGCTGCCCCTCACCAGTCTAACCGAGGAATTCAAGTGTGCAAAAACCAGGCTCCAGATGACACTGAATGAATCTCGAGACCCAGTGGTGAGCAACAACGCGCCGACTTTGGCAACTGGGCGCAAATGGAGGCCAGGAAAAGCAGTCCAGGAGGCAACAGCAGCCCTCAGACATGCTGACATTGTGGGTCATGTTCAGCAAGGGAGAGGAGGCCTTGGGCTAACTAGCCATGCTGCTTGGAGTAAGGCCACTGCACCAGAGCGGCGGAAGATGGTAGTGCAGGAAGTACGCCATTAGGAGGAGGCTGCAAGGTGGGCCAAGGCAGTCTCTCTTGCCAAACAGGGACAGTGGACTCGATGGGACAGTGTGGAGAAGAGGAAAATCAGCTGGAAGGATCTGTGGGCCATGGAATCGAGACGGTTGAGCTTTTCCATCAGAGCAACATATGACGTCCTTCCAACACCAGTTAATCTTCACCAATGGTATGGTGAAGATCCGGACTGTGCCTAAAAACCTTGCGTCCGCCCTGGAGGACAAGCGTGCTGCCACCAACTCCCTACCACCCCCAGCGGCATCACACCCATTACGGACGTCCTTTGTCCGCGAAGGGGCTAAACCACCGAAGAGCGGCTCTACACCAATAGAGCGAGACCAGCTGCGCTTGGCCCGCGACTGGAAAATGCTAGCTGACATTGGCCGGCAACTTGTGTTTCCTCCGGAGATCACAACCACCACCCTAAGACCTGACATGGTGCTCTGGTCCCGTTCGCTCAAGAAGGTCTTCATCATTGAGCGCACAGTACCCTGGGAGGACTCAGTAGATGAGGCTTATGAGCGAAAACATCTGCGCTATGCCGATCTAGCTGCCGAAGCACGGCATCATGGCTGGAACACAGAAGTCCGACCAGTGGAGGTGGGCTGCAGAGGTTTTGTGGCAACATCTACAGCCAGACTGCTTAGAGATCTGGGAATTAAGGGCCAGAGCCAGCGTTCGGCAATCAGAGCTGTATCAGAGGCGGCAGAAGGCAGCAGTCAGTGGTTCTGGATGAAGAGGAAAGACCCCAGCTGGGCCCCAAAGTGAGAGGGCCAGGAGGTATGCAGTCAACAATGCTTGACTCAGGGAGGAGGACACCCCTGCCATGCATAGTCCCATGGGATGTTGGCTATCAACAACAAGGCAACTCCTATGACTAATTGGGAATGGGACGCAAGCGTAGGATTGATCACCCTGTCGCTGGCCGCCTTTGGGGAGGGTGTATATAGTATGAAAGGCCGAAACACCCTAGGAACCAAAGGTTCACTACTGACGATGCGCTCCGCAAATTTCACCAGGCTCACTGTTCATGAACTCTTGGAAGTGCTTGCACAAAGGATAGTAACATCTCATCCTGTGTTCTTTGGAATCTGAACCCTAGACAACGAAGCCGAGCTGAATTTAGCATAATTACATCACACTCGCATAACTTCATACAATTCATTGTATTATCCCGATTGATAATACGACCCTAGACAACGAAGCTAAGCCCAATTATAATAACAGCATATAAGCGTAACCACATACATTCGCATAACTTAATAAGAGTATCTCCCTAATTGGCATAATGTATACGCATAATAGCATACATTAGCATAATTTCGTCTAATTATGCATTTTTTTTTTATTTTCATGAAATTTGTATTATTTTTGTATTAATTTTTAAAGACCCGGCATATACAACACCAGCATCAGGAACTCATTTGAGGTTGAAACTGCCTAGCAGAGGCCCTGGACTGGATCAGATATCACCTGCCACTGATGTTAACCATGGCGGGTAATCAAACCCAGGTAACTGGGTTCGTAGTGCAGTGTGCTAACCACTATGCCTCCGCTCCCCCCCACACATGCATACACATTCACAGGCACACACTCCATCTCAACATCACAATTACCTCTGACTCGTAATGTTGATTATTTTCCCAAGAACGCCACATTGGCTCTGTTCAGTATGGTCCTGGAATGGGATGTGAACAAATACTAAGATCCCCTGTGAGGCCTTCACAGACTATTGGGGCAAGTGCTGTTCGTGTGTGTCTATGAATGCTGGCAAGGCATACGAGGTGGGTGGGCAGCACCACGCCCGACCACCTATGTCTCCTTAAGTTCCAGGAAAAAACAAAGACAAATATCACCCGTGTAGCCTTTACAGACTGTTGGGAAAATCATCACCGTTGAAGGCTTTCACGACACACGAGGGGGTGGGTGGCCTGCACTACGGCTGGCCGCCTTTGTCCCCCTAGTGGTGATGTCTATAAAATATCAGGTAATTATTTGAGGTAGAGTCGACCTCGTGCACACACAGGGATAATTTTTTTGTCAAGATGGCCCCATCACCCATGATCCACACTGAAGAACTCACATAGGAGTTTGACTGCAGTTGTCTTCAGGACTTTAAATGAAGCAAAGTCCTCTTGGCTGGGAGCTGAAGGTGGAGCTGCTGTAGCCCTCCCTGCCCTGTGAAAGCAGAGCAGACATGGCCACTGTCTTACGCAGAGCATCGTCATTCACAGGATCATCACAACTCCATCACACAGGCACTCATCAATCAAAGCATCATCACTCATTTCACATTTACAGCATCACCACACAGAATTACTATTAGCACACACAGCATCACCACACAACATCACCACACATAGCATAATCACACAGCATTACCACACATTACCACACACAGCATCATCACACACAGCATCACCACCACACAGCATCATCACCACACAGCATCATCACTCACAGCTTCACCACACAGCATCATCACTCACAGCTTCACCACACAGCATCATCACTCACAGCTTCACCACACACAGCCTCATCACACAGCATCATCACCACACAGCATCATCACCACACACAGCCTCATCACACAGCATCACCACACAGCATCATCACCACACAACATTGCTATCACCACACATAGCATCATCACACACAGCATCCCCTCACACAACCAATGTCTCACTGTCCGCACCCCACACTCAGTATCATGTTGTCGTGTGTCGAGTCGTGAGTGAAAGTCGTCTTTTACCTGCGCATCTCCTCCACGTGCCCCTGTGAGAGAGAGAGAGACAAAATTACTGTGACTCGACATCCAATCTCTCGTGATCAGTGGAGTTCCCACTGCAACACCGTGGGTGGAATATAAACCCCAAAGTCTTGGCTTATGACCCCATGATCACCGGTTGATAGTCAGCTATAAACCACTATTTAAATTTCTCCTCGTAAGGCCCAGGGAGCGAAAGAGCTATTTTTCAGAAGCGACCTGGCCACAAATGATAGCTCAACGAAGTGGTTCATCTCGTGGAAATTTATAGCAGCCCGATACTCTAAAAGCACGTTTCTAAATGTGGAAGGAAATTTTTGAGGACTCGGAGAAAAATCCATGAAACGATGGAAAGAGACACGAAAACTATAAATATATAAGGACGTCAGGGCTGGGATCAAATCCCCGACCATCGGTATACCAGGCAAGGTAGCTAACATCTCGCTACTCCTATGAGGACCAACACTGATTTACTGGGCAAATATTTCAGAGTGAGACCGGTTAATATTAATCTGTGTTGAGAATTTCTGAGTCCTCGTAATTTCTATCGTCAATGCCCACGTGGCAGGTCTTGCAGAAGGGGTGGTCAATACACAATGATATCATTAATACGCGTATGAGACCTCGTATTTATTTTAACTTCCATAATATGAACAATGAAGGTAGCGCATCCAAGAGGAGGTCCACAAAGTAGGAAGCAGAGATGACATTGGCTCGTGAGCAGGCGCTGGTGGATTGTTGTTTTGCGGCATCATCAGATGTGGTAATGGCTTGGGGAGGACTTCATCCATCAGTAGATAGATCATGGCTGATGATAACCATGAATACCATGTACATTGTTGTTGCTGTTGTTATAGGGTTTATTTAAAAGTGCAATTCCAATAACATTTAGTTTATATTCACAATGAAACAAACTTAATGGGAATCTGTTATAGAACAGGAGAAATAATTAATTTAACTGAGAAAATAAGAGATGGCCTTCCAAATGGCAGCCACTAGAGCTGCGATGCGAATCCATGAGTGGAGCTGTGTTTTCAAGCCCAGTGGATGCGAACTCTCATTCAGGAGCCTCTCTCTGCTGCTGGTGAGAGGGCTCTGTGCCAAAAGCGACACTGGAGACTCAATGCTCACCTGTAGGAAAGCGAGCGAGTCCCTCTCATGTGCTAGGGCCTCCAAGCGAGTTGCTGCTGCCTGGAGCTCGCTGATCTCCCGCTGGTGGCGAGCGATCTTCTTCTCGATCTGGGTCAGCACCTCGCGCCCTTTCTGCTCCGCTTGCTCTAAAGCCGCTTTCTCCTCCGCATCCAACGCTGCTCTCGCGTGGGCGAATCTGACCGAGATTGAGGCCTTTTCATTTGTCATGGATCCCTGCAAAGAGAAATGCCACCTCTGTTCATTAATGTCTGGTCCTTTGTGAAATGACATTCAGGTCGGTGTGACCCAAGTGCAACTCTCATGATGTCCAGACAGTGATACGAGTCTGCAGCACTAAGGCCTCCTTCTTCCTCTGCCTTTGATAATGCATTTTTACTACAACACAATTCGCCATAACGGGTGGGGGCTGTGAGGCATTGAAATAATCAAATACCATCATGAGTACATTTAGCGTCTGTGACATTCTCATTATGAAAGACAAAAGGGTTTATGCTTTGTTTACCTTTGCATGAAGCAAAGGGAAACCTGTAATTTGCCTTCATCAAGTAAATCCTCAATGAGTCTCATTTCAATTAAATATTGAATTGGGATGATAGGTCAATTCCTCTTTAAATAAGTGTTTTGAATGTGAGAAGAAACCCACCACAGATGTATAAATGAAAAAAGTGGATCATGAACCCACTTGCTTTGCTATACTGCCACCTGGCCAACCCACAGCCGAACTGGTTTCAGTATTATGGTGTACAACTGTCTGTGTGATCCACCAAATCTGCCACCAGAGTATTGCAACACGTTCCTTCGGAGTGGGCAGGTGGGAACTTGGTTGGACAGCGCATTTGTGCGATCCGTGTCACGCGGCGCAAGCTGCGTGGGGCGGCGCGTCACGTGGTGCTGAGCCTGCCCGAAGCGCTCTATGAAATACAAATCGAGGGCGTGGCTATGCACGACAGACAGACAAATAATCCCTGGTGGGCAGTGTGGAACTGTTGTTCCTACCTGCATTATGTGAACTCTTATCGACTACAACTTTGATTGTAGTGCTGTTCATTGCTGACCCTATGCCATGTTGGTCTTCTGGATCTGTGCTCAGCAACCAAAACGAATGAAAACAAGCCACGCATATTCCTTCGAGTAAATTGTCCACTGGCAAAATATCACCTCGTGGAGATGCCGGGGATTGAACCCGGGGCCTCACACATGCTAAGCGTGCACTCTACCACTGATCTACATCCCTATGGTGGTTCTATCTGGGCGAAGTTCTACCTTGGTACGGGGTGAAACTTCGTCATCAGCTTCTTCCTCTCCCTTTTCACCCCACTCACTCTCCTGTTGGCCCTGGGCCCTGAACCCATAGATTATGCACAGAGTCCAAGCAAAATAATTTTTTTTGAAACAAAAAAAAATATCAAGAATACATGTGGATGGATCCTATAATGCTTTCCCAATTTATTTATTCTGGGAAATATTACTGGTAGGTTACACCAGCCCACAGGGGATTATTGTGTCCGTCCGTCCATCGTGCATCCAAAAATGGGAGGGGTGGGGCTGGGTGGAGAGGGTGGGGAGGGGAGGGTGGCGAGGGTGGGGCTTGATGGGGGGTGGGGAAGGATGGGGAGGGGCTGGTCACCCCGTGGTGCCCTGATAAAACTCAACATTTAACCTACTCACGCCGGCTTGTGCCCGCCCTCACAGTCGGCCATATTTGCGAAATACACCACGCCACCATTGACCCTGGCCATTGACCGAGCAACCCAACGTTCCTACCAGCTCCCTCCGCAGGAATGTGTTAAATTCAGAAATAAAAAAAAGTGTTTTGGATACTTTTAAGCACTTGTTTTCATCTCCAAATTTTTTTATAAACCATTTGATAACTGTGTGCATCGCTAGTTATACAAATAGCAAGTTCCTGAAATCAACATCCGAAGGTATCGTTCATTTAGGGTAATATTAACGAAAGTTAATGTGCACCCCTATTACAGGGACATTGACACAGCCAATTGATTTTGGAAATCAACCTTTGTTGGAAACAAATTAACTAAACCCAGGGCCTCACACATGCAAAGCGTGTGCTCTACCACACTGGGTCAGTCTGAACCCAGTAACGTGACCTCGTTGTGTAAGGGGGCTATCGGGGTCATGGTTTGAGTTGAAGACTCTACTCGGAAATCTCGCAGATCTGTTCCTTTTCCCGGTTGTTAGATAGCAGCACTTGGAAGCAAGCATTACCTGGGTGACTTCTGAAAACCATGAAAGTTCAAGTTCAAGTGCAAGTTCATTTATTAGGTATAGGCCTGTGAGCCATTCGGCTCTTGAACCGGGTGCAACCGCAACAAAAAAAACCAAAAACATGAACAAGAAACATCTTATAGTGACTATGTGCAAACAGAAAATCCAAGAAAAGACAGCAAAATATTGCAGAAAAAGCACCGTACACCAACACTGTGTGCAAAAATCCCAGTGGGATACAAGTCAAACAACAACAACCACAAGACAACTTAGATTAAGGCCATCAGTCTAATTCTCTGTACTACAACAAACAAACATGTCCAAACCAAAAACCCTTTTCGAAAATCACCAAAATAAACCCATAAAAGCAATGAAACAGTGGTCATAGGAACTGTGACCGAATTTTCACAATAAACGACGTAAACAACATGTACTACCAAACTCTGCAGCCATAGCTGGCTGCATGAGTCACTCCACAACAGTAGGAGCATCAGTCAGAGTATCAACATTTTTCAATGCACCTTTAAGATCAGCACACTAAATCAAAACACAGATCATACTTTGCAGCGATCATCCGGAGCAAAACATTGTATTTTAGGCCACTAAATTGCAGTGGCAGCTTGGGGTGTACAACTCCTCTCCAGCAGTTTTGAGTGAAGATCTCATAGGTAGTGATTCAAGTTGCAGTTTATTGCCAATAGCATTCCAGACCATGGGGGCATCAATAGCAAAGGCCCTTCCTCCAGTATTTGTACGGCAATAAGGAATGTGAAGCTGGTAAATGAGCGAAGACCTTAGGTCAAATTTGTTCTTTGAAACAGAAAGTGACATCTCATCCACATTAGGGGTCATCAAAGAACACACGGCTAGATGAATATGGCCCAGTGGCCTAATGGATAAGTCACCAGCTTATGGTAGTTGGGGGATTGCGGGTTTGAGTCCCATCTGTGTCTTTAGTGTTTTGTTAAAAATTCAACGATAATATTTCTTCTTCAAATCACAATTTGATTTCCCATTCAATTACCTAGGCATAATTTACCTCGACTCTTTTCAAGAAAATTTCCCAAGTATCCTGATATAATTCCACTCGTTGAGTTCTCCTTCAGTGATGAAGACTCCAGACTGATTTTCGTCTCACTCACTCCATTCGACCACCACTCGGCAGGTCACAACACTTTTCTATCGGCTTCTTCCACGCACTGCTCGAATTTGGAAGTCCATGCGACGATTTCAAGTCTAATAATCTTTCTAATTTCCATAAATGTTAACTGTTATCGACAACTTTGGTTGTCGTGCTGTTCATTGCTGACCGTATGCCATGTTGGTCTTCTGGATCTGTGCTCAGCAACCACAACAAATGAAAACAAGCAGGCGTTTTTTGTCCAGGCCACGCATATTCCTTTGAGTAAAATTAGCCACTGACAAAACATCACCTCGTGGAGATGCCGGGGATTGAAATGGGGGCCTCACACATGCGAAGCGTGCACTCTACCACTGAGCTACATCCCCATTCTGGTTCTACCTGGGTGCAGTTCCACCTCGGTACGGGGTGAAACTTCGTCATCAGCTTCTTCCTCTCCCTTGTCACCCCACTCACTCTGCTGTTGGCCCTGGGCCCTGTACACATCTTTGAAACAAAAAGAAATAACAAGAATACATGTGGATGGATACTATAATGCTTTCCCAATTTATTTATTCTTGTAAATGTTTTATTCGGAAATAAAAAAGTGCATTGGATACTTCTAAGCACTTTTTTTCATCTCCAAATGTTTAAGTAAACAATTTGATCACTGTGTGCATCGGTAGTTATACAAACAGCAAGTTCCGAAAATCAAGACAAATTCATCCAAAGGTATCGTTCATATAGGGTAATATTTACGAGAGTTCACGTGCACCCCGATTACAGGGACATGGACACAGGCAATTAATTTTGGAAATCAACCTTTGTTGGAAACATAAATTAAAGCTTCCAACATGGAGATGCCGGGGATTGAACCCGGGCCCTCACACATGCAAAGCGTGCTTTCTCCCACTGAGCTACATCCCCACCACGCTGGCAGCCAGGCAGGTAGCCAACCCCCTTAACTATCGGCCCCTCCCCTTACCCCCCCTCCCTTAGGCCCCTCCCCCCACCCCCATTCCCTTAGGCCCCTCCCCTCCTCCCTTAGGCCCCTCCCCTGACCACCCCCCCATATCTTTAGGCCCCTCCCCTGACGCCACCTCCCTTAGGCCCCTCCACTGACCTCCCCCCTTCCTTAGGCCCCTCCCCTGATCCTCCTCCCTTAGGCACCTCCCCTCTCCGTACCCAGCAGTAGCTTTCCACCAATCAAAGAGCTGTGTATATTATATATTTATTCATGCACGACAGACAGACAGACAAAATATCCCTGGTGGGCAGTGTGGAACATTGTTCCTACCTGTATAAGAGGTGTGTACCACTGTTGTATGTGTTGGGATTATGAAATTTTGATGAAAATAATAAAAATTAATAATTTTCCGAAAATTGCGCAAATCGCATTAATTATGGTGGTGTGTGTATTGATATGCATAAATTATGATAATGCGTGTAATTATATGCATAAATTATGATAATCGTAGTAATTTATGCGGATGCTTGCGGTTATGTTATTGTGTGCAGTTGTGATAATTAGGCTTGGTTTCGTTTATCCAGGGTTATATCAATCAGGATAACACGATTATCATCGATTAAACATTTTCTGATTATCTTAGTGTGTTTGTTATTTTTAGGTCTCCAGGTTCAGATCTCATCACAGGATACAGTTATCAAGAATAAGATAGTTTTGCATGGACTTGGAAAGAAGCACTCGAACAGTTGGTGTTAAGCAATTTTAATTCTAAACAAGCACATGACACTCTAGTATGGGAAAGCGAGTATACGTCAATAAATTCATGGGCAATCTTATGCAATTAACGAAATTGAATGACTAAAAATACTTCTTCATTGGCGAAATTATGCAGTTAACGAAAATGAATGACTAAACATTTCTTATTCATGTAACTCGACGGCAGCAACTGCTTTGCACGATCAGTTGATATTGAACGCACCACCTCGAAATGGCAACCTTTTTTGAAACGCAAAGATCACTTTTTGAAAGTCTTATTCGTGTGCGTGCTGTGTGTGCGTTGTCCTCTCGTAATATTAATTGTGTCGTTAGCTTGTGTGGTGTAGGAGGATACAAACAGCGGCCAGGTGTTCCTCTCGATTGGGCGTGGCCGCCGCAAGCTCCTGCTGCTCCCTCGCTCGGACGCGTCTCTGCTTGTGCTCTCTCTTTTCTCCACTGCTGGATGACGAGTTGGCACGACGCTCGGTGACGCCCGGTGACGTCCGAGTCGTGCTGCTCTTGCGCTCTCTCTCCCTCTGCTGGATGACGAGTTGGCACGACGCTCGGTGACGCCCGGTGACGTCCGAGTCGTGCTGCTCTTGCGCTCTCTCTCTACTGCTAGATGACGAGTTGGCACGACGCTCGGTGACGCCCGGTGACGTCTTGTCTGTTTACATTGGTCTTTGGTAGGTGTGCCCTCAAACACACGGCGCATTTGATGGTGCTGTCCTCTTCCTCACAGCCGTTTGACCAGGCTTTCTCCACTGCTGGATGACGAGTTGGCACGACGCTCGGTGACGCCCGGTGACGTCTTGTCTGTTTACACTGGTCTTTGGTAGGTGTGCCCTCAAACACACGGCGCATTTGATGGTGCTGTCCTCTTCCTCACAGCCGTTTGACCAGGCTTTCTCCACTGCTGGATGACGAGTTGGCACGACGCTCGGTGACGCCCGGTGACGTCTTGTCTGTTTACACTGGTCTTTGGTAGGTGTGCCCTCAAACACACGGCGCATTCGATGGTGCTGTCCTCTTCCTCACAGCCGTTTGACCAGGCTTTCTCCACTGCTGGATGACGAGTTGGCACGACGCTCGGTGACGCCCGGTGACGTCTTGTCTGTTTACACTGGTCTTTGGTAGGTGTGCCCTCAAACACACGGCGCATTCGATGGTGCTGTCCTCTTCCTCACAGCCGTTTGACCAGGCTTTCTCCACTGCTTCGCGCTCTCTGCTTTGCACACTTGGTCGACGCTTGGCGATCTCCGCCCTTTTACAGGTTGATTGCTTGTCGTCACTCGTCACTCTCTCTGCTCCGTGCTTCCCTTGTTCATGCAGCTGCCAGCTTCACTCGCACTTAACTTCCTTCTGCGAGAAGCGACTCCGGCTATCGGCATCGGTGTCTCCACCAGCCGGAGCACGGCTGAAACCCAGCCCCGACCCAGGTTGAACTCAGACTTCTGCGACTCGAACGACTCCTCCTCGTTCCATCACTTCTCGAGGCACAACCGCCCCAGCTCTCTTGCGAGCCCCCGTCGCAACGCTGCGTCGCAAGCCGAGTTGCGAGACTGAGCGCGACTCGAACAGACTGCTCTCAGACTGTCACTTTAACGATGTCTCGTCGTTCCATCTCTCCTCGAGGCACGACTGCCACAGCTCCCTTGCGTGCCCCGTCGCAACGCTGAGCTCGACTCGGACTAGACTGCTCGTTCGCTGTGTGTGTGCCTAACTTAAAACGTGACTCCCTTCTCTCTGCATTCCTTGCGAGCGGGCAACCAAAAAAAAAACACAAACAGAGCGAGAAGAAGCAGACACCGGCGCGATCCCTCCTCGTGACCTTTTCCTAACCCTCCAAGCATTCCTGGGCCATCTGTTTGTGCTGCGGGGAGACAAAGGCGGCCGTGCTTAACTCAAACACGCGAGCACCCACTCCTCTCTCCGCGTCTCTTGCGAGAGAAAACAACCAATGTCAGCACAAACCCCCCCCTTTGTGACCTTTTTGCTCCCTCCTTGCTTGTCAGACCCCGCTGGAAGACAAAGGTGGCTGAGGAGATGTTTGCAATACATTTATGTGGTCCTGTGTGTTACATTTATTCTTGAATTATATTTTATGAGTTCCTTCGGTCTTAGTATCGTGGTTATCATTCGTCTATGTTTAATGAATATTCGTAATGCTCGTCACATTATTATTTTGGGGCTTCGCCCAGTTTAGTTCTCCAGAGATTGGTGTTTTATTCTGAGTTAATTTTTTTATGTCCTGAGGTTAAGTACATGCACTTAAGCTTTCTGGAATTCGTACTCTTTAGTTTTTCGGAAGGTCGTGTAGATAGGAAACATATACTTCTAAATAATATGTATGCGGTGAATATAAGGGAATTACTAATAATAATATTATTGTTTGTTGGTTAATTATCTATGTTAAGTTTCTACTTTTCGGTAAGGAAAACGTTAAGAAAACGCGAGTTTCAACCGTTGTTTGCTCTGCACCTTATCTGTACATCTCCAGATGTCTTTGGGAGGTTAGTCCATACATCTTTTGTCCATCTGGATGTCTATGACCTCTCTGTCACTGACTTCTTACCAGTTTATTGGCCGTTTCACAGATTCCTGGTGTGTTTGTAGTGGGTTGTTTTCATTATTTAATTAAAAGGTATATATAGATATAATAAAAAGAGAAATAGTTTTTTTTCTTAATTATTCTTAATATTAATAACGGAAAACAGGGCATAGATCCAACACCACCTCATCTGGCCAATATTGCTAACGGATGTTGAAGTGGTAAGTTGTATGGAGATATGGGAATTTTTAATTCCCACCACTGAATCAATTCCTTATTGGAGATGAGAGCCACCTTTTTGCTCGTCTGTTCATTGAGGCACATTGACCGGTGTCTTTAGTCCCACGGTGTGTTCAAAGCCAATGGAAGTCCACGTTAATAAATTGAGTTTACCTCCATTACAAACCCTATTCAGGGTGGAGTGACAGGGTCCGGCCCAGATGCGGTACCTGTACGTCCCTCCGAGCGGCCTCCATCTTCTTCACGAACTCCTCCGCCTTCCTCCTCTTCTCCTCCACCGCCTGCGTCTCCTCTCCCACTTGTTTCTGTGAGAGACATCACCAGGGGAGACTCCACTCACTCTCCGAGCGTCCCCTCTCACCCCCACTCCACTTGGATCCCTCCACAGTGACTGTCCCAGCTCCAAGCAGCAGCGGCCCCATGCAGTCATGGTGGCCGGGGGAGAGAGCGCTGCACGGAACTGATTTCACGAGGAGCTCAAACGCCTCCTGGAGCTCACGGAGCTCGAGTCCAGGACCCACTCACTCTGCACTCCAGAGGTTCACTTCACGTGCATTCAGTACCATTGGAGATTCACTGTCATGGTACTGGTATTTCCCCCCCTTAATTTGACATGGTAAACTTGCTGATAAAATGTGCATATTCTTAGTTAAGATTACATTTTAAGATTGTGTGTGATTTGAATATATTTATTCTTGAAATAAAATGAAAATCCAGCCTTTTTGTCAACCACTGCTGGAGAGAGCCTACCCACTCTGTATCCATCATGGGGATTGTTTTGCCATGAACTTCCAACCACGTCATCACTTTACAGCAACTCCTTCTGCAAGTTCCCAATGGATTAATATTCACTCAGGGTCCAAGCACTAAATAACGCCTGCAGCATTGCCTTCAATGTAGCCCTGAATGCTCGTTTGTCAAAACGCCAGGAAGTTGGATATACAAGCACCTCAGTAATAACTACTGCAGTAAGCAGTTATTACTCTAATCTCAGTAGCTACTACTGAAGAGTCAATTGATACTACTATAGAGTCAGCAAATACTACTGTAGAGTTGGTAGAAACAACTGTAGACTAAGTAGATACTACCATAGAGTCAATATATACTATTATAGAGTCAATAGTGATTTCTGTAGAGTCAGTAGTTATTACTGTAAAGTCGAAAGATACTACTGTCGAGTCAATAAATACCACTATAGATTCAGCAGATACTACTATAGTCATTATATACGATTGTAGAATCAGGAGTTCTACTATAGAGTCGATAGATACTACTATAGAGTCGTTAGATAATACTATAGAGTCTGTAGATACTACAGCCTCTATATATACGTCTATAGATTCAGTAGATACTGCTATAGAGTCAGCAGATACTGCTATATAGTTAGTAGTTACTACTAACGTCAGTGGATACTACTATAGAGTCAAGAGATACTACTATAGATTCAGCAGATACAATTATAGTAATTAAATACTACTGTAGAGTCAATAGTTACTTCTATAGTCGGTTGATACTACGACACTGTTGGTAGTTATTACTATAGAGTCATACTACTGTAATAAAAGGACTCGAACACTTCTCTCTGTCTTCGTGTCTTTATTCAGGTTCACGTCTTTACCCACACGGCACTCTGTTATAACTCCTGTATTTGTAGCCCCCGGCTATTCACTGCTATTATAGCTTCCTCTCCCCTCTGACTCTCTGTTTCATCTACTGTAACCTCTGTTGTATATGTTGGGTATGAAAATTTGTTATGTTGTATGCGTGCGTGGGTGAAATTATTATGTTGTATATGTGGGTTATGAATATTCAGTGGAAATAATAATAATTAAATGAAATTTGGCCAAATGTGTAATTATCCGGAAATATGTTAATTTATGTAATTACGCACATTTTAATTATGCCAATTCGAGAGGTAATCGTATTAATTATGCGAGTGGGTGTAATTATGATAATGCAAGTCGTTATGATAACCAGACCCCGGTTCACCCCGTTATCGCTTTAACATTTACTGAGTATGTATTAGTGTGTTTATTAAGGTCACCAAGTTCAAATCTCAACGCAGAAGCAGATCTTATGCATAGATTTCAGGAAAGAATCACACAACCACTTCTGTATTGATCAATTTATTACTAATTCAACCTTAACTATGATATAGTATGCGAACTCTCAATCCCGGAACGTCAATACGGCATCAATACAGTATCATCAACGATTGTCTGATTTCACTTTGACAACGGCACATGGATCCCGCATAACGCGATGGTTGTTAGTGAGAGAGAGAGTCGTTAAAACATGCAAATACTATGCTAAGAAAACCTTAACGTTAATGAATGATTATACTCAATATTGTTCACGCAGTACCGCACTCCTTATTGATCATACGCAACCCTTATCACGTTGTTAACACCTTGGGTCACGGAACAGTTGAATATTCTGTAGAGGATGCGAGTACGTGCGGCGATTATGACTGAAAGATACTTGAAAGATTATACGGCGATAAAAAAAAAATACAATCAAAAACAGTTATTATTCTTAAAGGCACCAATCTCAACAGATACATCGGCAGGTTATCTGACAACAGAACGGCTCGGAGTAAGGGCCTGCGACGGTGCTCCTTTTCCGAAGCTCGTTATCTTATACCAAGTTTACTAATTGGGGACCAGATCACCTGATAAGGATCCGGTGGGCCACCACTCCCCACGTGAGCGTGGCTCGGCGGAAGGAGGTGCCAAGAATCAGTTCGTATTGATGGATCTGTTGGGAATTTATGCGATTAAGAGTACAGCCCACTAAATATTAAAGATAAAAATTAAGAATACTCTTATAAACGACGGAGGGCCATCACTCGGTCTCGTTGTGATGCTTTCCAGCCACGGATGGCTTATGGGTTCGAGTGTTTTTGAGTGGTAAGAGTTGTCTTGAATAGTCAGTGTTCGGAGTCGATTCTTTAGGTCAAACAGACGCCTGGTGGTCGTGTGGTGAGGGGGCGGTGCGCGTCATACGTATCAGTCGATCCCGTGGCGAATTGGTTCGGATGGCTGTTGATACGCTGTCGCAGTTCGGAACCCGGTCGGTAGGTGGCGCCCACAACTCGCTCGTAGCGTGCAGCTCTAGGTTGTCGCCGAAGCGCGATGCTCACCACTCCGGTGGCAGCAGAGACCCCCGATTCGGCAGAGGTTGACGAGCTGAAGATGAGTCGAGCCGACCCGCTGGTCGCAGCTCGCTCCTGAGTCGACCCTCCCGGTCGAGCTCGCTCCTGGGTCGACCCGCTGGTCGCCCTCGCTCCTGAGTCGACCCTCTGGTCGCACTCCTGAGTGGACCCGCTGGTCGCACTCCTGAGTGGACCCACTCTGGTCGCACTCGTTCCTGAGTCGACCCTCCCGTCGCACTGGTTTCCAATGCTCAGGATCCTTTACTTTATGCCGAAAATTCCCCCTGGATCCCGCCCACAAGGCGGGGCTTCTTCCGATTTTTGCTGTGTCAGGATCTGTCCGTAGGCAGGTGTGTCCATGTGTCTGTCCGTATGTCCGTGTGTCCTTGTGTGCATCACTGACGGTATATTCGTTGTCACACTCCCTCCATAAACCCACGAGCAAACAATCAGATGTTACAAATTGCCTCGAGGTCGTCTCTCTGTCTGGGTGCAATATTATCTCTTGTCTGGCCTTCTTCATGAACCCAAAACACAGACGTTACAAATGTCTCATAGGCGTCTTTGTTCGTGTTGCACAACCTGGAGGGAGGGGCAACACTCTCTCCGACCCGGCGCACAAAGAAATGGTTAAAAAGTTTTAAGTTAACATTTGTCCCTTACTATTTCACAGTTATGATTCTGTATGTAACCTAAGGTCTGTCGTTTCCCATCGTGGTTCCCGACCCAAGTGTAGGTGTTTCCCCGAGCGTACACACACTCCTATCCCGCGCTGCGGGAATACAAAGACGGCCGGGATCTCCCTTTCTCTCCGACCCTGGGTTTAACATTGTTTTTTTTTATTATGTATTTATATTCGACCTGGTGGTGATTCATCCCGTTATCCTGGCTTTTCCATAAGTTTTACTTTTGTCTTTTCATGCATATACTTATTACTATAAATTTATTTCCGATATCTTAGGTTAAGGGGTAAGTTTCTTGATCCTAGGAATTCGTATTCCTTGGTGCCTGCATGGTTATATAAGCGGAATATAGTTTACGGTGAATAGCGTTAACATTGATGTTATGTGCGATATTATGTATTGTGATGTCTTTAACTTAACTTGTTTGTCAGGGCTTTACTGACACGAAGTTGCATTCCATAGCCCGCAGTCTTTGCCCCACCCTATCTCTGCTCGCCGTTGTTGTTGCCTGCCGTTAATTCAAGGCCTCATTAATTTCCATCACTCCTGAGTAGGTGAGGGCGGTTGAACCTTGGAGTCAGTTCTGGTTTTTGTCTGCCTGCTTCTTCTTGTGTCCCCTGACCCCGGGAGTTATTATTCTACTTTATGGCCTGTCGAAGCCCCACTCGCTGTTGCTGGGCTGGTGTTGTTCCCGGCTTTTTGCTTACGTTTGCAGTTCGCCGTGCTCTTGATTTCCTTCCCTCTTCAACCTTATATTGACTATTCGCTCCTGTCTGGGTGCGATTCAATTTTGACTTAGGAAGGTTCTGATTGTCATATGCTTCGGGTCGAATTGTATAGAAAGTATTGAAGTATGGAAATAACATTTCATATTGACTTAATAATGGTGATGGTTCAGTAGGCGTAACTTGTGGCCTGGTTTAATTGGAGTGGGTGTGAATATCAAACTTTAGCCTACCCTGTTGTTAAATTCCGACTTTAACGTTACTTTAATAGCAATACAGAATAATTGAGCTTTTTGTCTTAACTAGGCGAACGCGAACTTCTGGTGACCCCCGCACTGTCTCTGCCTCCCCCCCCTGTGCACACAGCCTTGAGCTGACCCACTTAATTTAATTCTTGGCCTTCTTGGGTTTATCTATGTTTCCTCAGCTGCAGGAGAACAAGGCGTGCTTCTACCTCCCTTTCTGTGTGCACGTGTTCTAATTAGCTCGGAATCCCTAACACACAATCAGTGATGATTCCTGGCTTTCTGTGGTTATGACTTAGACAAAGGCCCTCTGCTTCCTTTCACTGCCTTTGCCTTGAAGCAAGGTTGCAATTCTGTCATCCTAGCCCTCCTCTCGTTCATTACTTAACAACACCTGGTGTTTTGCAGTTTGGTGCGCTTTGGTGTGTTTCACTCATTAAAAAAAAACAAGTAAAAAGATAATATATAAAAATCATCAAATATTATTAATCTCAATTA